CGTGCTCATCTGTGTGAGGTAGAAGAGGCTGCTGGTCCAGAAAGGGCTTCTTGGAGAGCTAGCCTGGGTTTTTTCCTAAAGAAACATTTGTTTAAAGAGTTGCCCCAAGTAGTATGATGACGTTTTTTAAAATACACTAATTTATGTTTGTGAATTTAATGCAAATTCAGGTGATGTTTATGTCACACGTTCCTCAGCTCGTCAATAGCTTCACTCTGACTGGCAGGTCCTATGCTAAGCTAAATTTGGAAAAACAGATGTGGTCCTGTTCTTGTGACATTTACAGCCTAGGGAGATCAGTGGATTAATCCAGGAGTCAGAGTACTGAAAGTGTCTAAGTATAGTTAGAGAATTCACAGTTGAAGGGACTGGCCCTAAACTGAGGTCAGGGGAGACTCTGAGAAACAGTGTGCAGGGCCCTGAGGCAGGCACTGTGGGAGTGGCAGAAAAGGTCCCGGAGGCCAGAACAGAAAGATCCCTGTGAAGGAGCCAGGCAGGGTCCCAGAGCTCCAGGGCCTCATAGGTCCAGGGCACAGTTTGGTCTCCAGAGAGAACTCAAAGCAAGAAGTGGGGACAAAGTCAGACAGGTTTTTGAGATTCCTCTGGCTGCAGCGTGGATTTCTGAGTGGATGCAAGGAAACTAGTGAGGAAACAACTAAGGTCGCCCAGGTGAGGTGATGCAAGGTTGGAACAGGGCAGCATTAGAGATGGAGCAGTACAGATTTAGGAAAGATGCAGAGGTTGACAGGGACCGTGTTTGTGAAGGGTTGAAGGTGAGGTGGGCGGGGAAAGTGCCTAGGTTTCTGGCTAGTGCCGCTGGAGATAGGACACTGTTACTGTGGAAAGTAACACCACAGAGTAGCAGTCTCCAATATGGGGTTGGGGGCAGGGGAGGGGGTTAATCTCAGGCTTGGGTTTGGTCTGAGTAGGTACCTCAGATATTCCCATGAGAGGCAGCTGGTTCTAGAAGTGAGGTGCTCAGAGAACTGGCAAGGCTAAGATGTGGAGCTGTGAATCATTGGGGTCCTCAAAGAAGGCAGATGGGTACACTGTTGGAGGGATTATTAACTAACAAAGGCATGTGGGGGGAGTAGGGAGCCACAGCTAGCTGCAGCTGCCACCACTCAGCACTGAACCCCTACAGCCAAGACACAAACAGATCTTCCCCACCCCACCACGCCCCACAAGGAGGAACCAGGAATGATCATCCTGGCCTCCCCTTCCCTCTCCTCCCAGGGCTCCCATTGGCTGAACCAAATCAGGAGCAGAGGGCCCAGGGAGCCCTGCTGACTGGGTAGTAGGTCCTGCGTGTCTGCCTCCCAGGCAGAGCAGGATGAAAGCATAAAGCAGATCTGGAGACACAAGTGGGAAACCACTGCCATAATGAGATTGTCCAGAGAAATGTTACAGAATGAGACGAAGTAATTCAAAAGGAACGGGAGCCATTCCCCCATGTTGCTTATAAAACTGATGGGAATCTTTATTCTACTGAGAACTTTTCTTCCCTGCTAAGTTTCAAAGAAAAAGCCTGCCTAGTTTGGTCACTCCAACATACACAAGTGATCTAGCTTGAAAGCCAGTATTCCAATATTGGTAAATTCTCCTGAAGATGTACTAATGACTCAATTCACTCATTCATTCCACAAGCGTTTGCTGAGTACCTATCCTATACCAGACACCGTCTGACCAGGGAGAAGAGTCTTAAACTCTGCTCTCCTTGCCCTACATCCCTTGTCCCAGAAACAACTTGCTACACCAGCTGGCCATCATTTGCTAAGTGTGTGCAGACCACCCAGCAAGGTGTTGCTATTAGAAGCTGAGGTTTCTTGTGTCTTTAGCCTTTCAGCATCCCAATTTTTCCAGAGAGAAGGCCTGGCTGGTGTCAAGGATTCCTCTCTTGGAGCTTTCCTGTTTGCCTCAGGAATACACCTGAAACACTGTCCCTTGGGAGCTAACAGCAGGCAGCAGGCGGCTCCAGACTCACCTAAGCATGCTGCCCCCAGAGCAGGGCAGCTCAATTACCCAGCTTAAGACACACAGCAGCAGGCGCTAAACTGTCCAAGGAGCTTTCAATGCTGCAACTGTGCCAAGTCAAAGTCCCTAGAAACACAAGTCATTTTTACAGCAACCTGTGCCCTCCCTCCATCTAGACTTTTCTTCAAGCCCCAGACTAACATAACTTTCTCTTAAGCTAAAAATAAGCCATAAAGCCCAGCATTCTGTTTGCTCAAGATTTGGGAACGTTCTGCCCAAGTTTGTTTTGTGGCCTCATATCCAGCAGTTCTAATTCCAAAAAGGCTGAGTGCATAGAGCTTGCAACAGATTGAAGCTGATAGCTTTACTTCACTTCCTCCAAACAGTCCAGCCATTACATAAATGTGCTAACGTAAATTCATGTGTTAGCACTCGCTCCTAATCCCAGACCTACTAAGCAAGTGTTCCTAATCAAACAAACACGAGTTTCTCAGAAGATAGAGCGCTCCCTCTCTCAATTGTAGGCAATTTGTGTTTTGTTTCTGCTTTAGGAATCTTGTATTTCCTACAAAGACTTAACATTTCTAGGGCCCTTCACATCCCTTGTTTCTTCATTACGGACTATGGGGAGGTATTCATCCATTTGATGAGTGCCTACTATGTGCCAGGCATGTACTCTACACACAACCAATGAAATCATTGGGAAAGATGGGGTGATGAGTGTTTGCACAGGCTGGGAGGTTGCAATTTTAAATAAGGTGGTAAGGTAGGTGACATTCATTGAGAAGGTAACGTGTGAGCAATGGATACTTGAAGGAGATAAGAGGCTAGCCAGGTAGACCTCTGGGAAAGGTAATTCCAGGTAGAGAACACATGTCACTAAGGCTCTGGGGCAAGAGATGTCAGGGGCATTCCTGGAACACAGCAAGCAAGGGAGCAGGTACAGACAAGGGCAGAGGGCAGCAGGCGAGTCAGAAGTAACCCTGACACATATCACATAGGGCCTAGTAGGCTATTTTAAGAATCTTAGCTTTTACTATCTGAAATTAAGAGCCACCTATAGAGTCGCTATGAGTGGGAATCGACTCATTGGCAACGTGTTTTGGTTTTCGGTAGGGTTTAGGCTGAGGAATAATTAGATATAGCTTGAAAGGCTCATCCAGGCTGTTAGCTAGAGAACAGACCTGGATGAAGGGGGGTGGGGGCAGGAGCACACACCAGGAGACAAGCGCAATAAGCCAGGTAAGCCATGATAGGGACTTGGATCTGGGGTAGCAATAGCTGAGGTAAGGAGAAGCAATTAAACCTAGACGGAGCCCTCGTGGCAGAGCAGTTAAGAGCTTGGCTTTTAACCAAAAGGTCACCAGTTTGAATCCACCAGCCGCTACTTGGAAACCCTATGGGGCCACTTCTACTCTGCCCTTTTAGGGTCGCTGAATCAGCATCAGGTTTTGAAAATAAGACCAACAAGATTTCCTGGTAGATTAAGTAGAAAGAATCACTCCAAGGTTTTCTAGCTTGGGTTTCAGAATGTTTGAGTTACCCACAGGTGCTTTACATACTCTTCCATTTACCTTTCTCACCAAACCCCAACCCAGACTGTATCCACCCGAGTGAAAGGTGAGGTCAAAGTATCGACACACCACAACGCCCAGCGCCCAGGTTTTCTTTCCCGCTTTCCAATGAACTGCTGACCCGACTTTACAAGCGAGTTTCCCTTTTATCCTCTTGCTTTACTTAGGAAATAGTTTTCTTAGAACCTACATCCTTCTTGCTTAGTTTTCTAAAAGGAAGTTCTGAGAGTCCTCCGGCCACGCAAGGGGCATCCCGGCAGCTATTTCGAAAAGGGCAAGTTCCTTGGTTAGGTCATACTTTAAAAAAAAAAAAGGAAAAAAAAAAACAGAAAAAGCTATCCTCTTATGTTTGCAAAACCAAGCCAGCACTGCAAACACCGGGGCGCAAGGTCCGCCGGAAGGCCGGCAGTTCGCTGAGGAACTCGTGCCGCTAATTCACGGCCTCGACAGCCACGCAAACACGGCCACAAGAGGCACCCGGCCCGGCCCTACATCCAAGCCCGCCCGTGCTTTCAGGGCCCCCAAAATCTTAAGCCCCCTGAAGTGAAGAACGACCCACAACAGCCACCCTGCCT